CAAACCTTTAATGGTTATATAAGTGTAGTGATAATAAATGTTTTCTAAACATATGCCATTGTTTGTTACCAGGTTCGTTAAGGACAAACCTTTAATGGTTATATAAATGTAGTGATAATAAATGTTTTCTAAACAGATGTCATTGTTTGTTCCCAGGTTCGTTAAGGACAAACCTTTAATGGTTATATAAGTGTAGTGATAATAAATGTTTTCTAAACATATGCCATTGTTTGTTACCAGGTTCATTAAGGACAAACCTTTAATGGTTATATAAGTGTAGTGATAATAAATGTTTTCTAAACATATGCCATTGTTTGTTACCAGGTTCATTAAGGACAAACCTTTAATGGTTGTATAAGTGTAGTGATAATAAATGTTTTTTAAACAGATGCCATTGTTTGTTACCAGGTTCATTAAGGACAAACCTTTAATGGTTATATAAGTGTAGTGATAATAAATGTTTTCGGAGGATATATTTGTATTTTTTAGGGAAAGATGTCACTGTTTGTTGTTAGGTCCTTTGAAAACAAATATTCACAGCTTGTCACTAACTACGGTAGTGTTTGGTATGTAGGGATGGACCGGGAAAAATGGCCGACGCATATTATGTATTGCTCATCACAGTCACAAATCTCTTATAACAATCTAAGAATCTTTTATAAACGTCTAACTTAGGTTTTCGAAAGCTATTAAGTAAGACCTTCAGTTTAGTCAAAAAACATCGCTAAAATAGAGAACCGGCGAGTAGCGTAACAGCCAGATGTTCTACTGATTATTCTGATTCTGACGTCAGAAGGGCTAGTTCACCAACACTTGAAATTGTTGCGATGATTTACACACCAAAATGTTGCATTTTAACTTGGGGAGTTCAGAAACAGTATAGCGTTTCACAAATTTCAACACATGATGTCCATCAAGACGACTCAAACTGCTGCCTTCATAACGACTGCCATTCATTAAAATTGATTGTTTAAAAAAAGTGTGGAAACAAGTAATAAAAAAGGAAGAAAAAATAAGGATGATGTAGGGATGGCAACGCCGAAAAGTACAGAAACAAAGGAGGGATGAACACACAAAATCTTACAAAAATCCCTGCACAAGTAGCCACTGAGCCAATGTTACAAACCTATGGGAATTAGCCATGGTAAGACAGTATAGTATTATTCAGTTTAAATGCTTTTATTCAAACCTGAATTCATGCAAAGGAAATAAATTCAATATTTAGTTGTTGATAAAAGTTTTTCTTGGAAAGATTTGGCTACTTGTATAGGGATTTTTATATGGTATATTTATGTATTCATCCCTACCTTGTTTCTGTACTTTTTGGCATTGCCATCCCTACATCCTCCTTGTTTGCTTTTTTTTTCAAAAATTTTTTTATTGCTCGTGTCAATATAAAAAGCTTAAAAAAGAGCGATCTGTTAACGCAAATTGAAATATATGTAGCATTAATGATCGAACTATACAATTCCACCAAAACCGGCCTCGGTGTTAGTAGGACATGACGTAAAAGTGTTTGAAAATAACTTATAGACCATTGGTTCTCAGTCTTCGGATAACGCCTCATTTCTAAATCCAATATGTCACTATCACTAAAATATTAAGAATTGTTGTGCATCAAAAAATCAGGGCCGGGGCGACGTGTCTTGCCCTCCCCCCAACGGATGTTTTGTGAATCAGCTGTAGGCAGCAGCAGTGTTGTGCTCTGTGTTTTACAGTAGAATGCCTATTCTGTCTGACGGGGAATTTTTCTCTCGGCCAGGGATTAGCTGGTAATCGGAACCAGTGTTCTGACATTCATTTATGGTTGCCCCCAAGAACCTGCCGCCCTGTACGAATGCCAAATATTCAAGCAGAAATGCGTGTAATTATGTAGTCATTTAAATTTTATGTAAGATGCCGTTTACGTCCTAATGGTGTTTTTTCTTGGACTTTTTCATTGGAGGGTTTAGAGAACCAATAATGACGTAAGCTACCGCAATTTATATGCAAGCGGCGAGAACAAAACGCTTATCATTCGTTACATAGTACAATATGAAGCAATTTAAAAAAGGGGGAGATAAGTATACGTACGCAGGGACCTAATGCTAATTCTAAGCGTAAGAGAAATGTGACAATAATTTTGTATTGTAATATGTGTTTCAGACGAGACCCATTTTGAAGTCAACGTAACCATGCCGGCGTTCTTCATGGACACGAATGACTACATACATGGTTACGTCACAGCCAAGTAAGTAGTGTATATATATATATATCTATATATTTGGAAACTAAAAGTAGGCCTAATCAGCATGGGTGTTTAAGCTGTTAATCAGGAACCCGTATGTTATATATATACATACAGTGTATAGTGTAAGATGTTTAAATAAATGTTACAAGCAATAGGATTTTAAATCCCCTTTGTACTTCTACCGACCACCCCCATCCTCTCAAAGAACAAAAAAGTATCTCTAATCGCATTTACTGCTTTCTTGAGTTAGTTTTACGTCAGACGTAGTAACAACTGTAGATATTTATACACATTTATTTTATTTTCATTAGAGCTGAATTTAAAATTATTCTAAATTACCTTTTTATGACGCATGTTTTTTAGAAACATGTTTAAGAAATGAACATAATTTTTTGAGGAATAGGGGGGAAATTGATTTACTAATGACATTTTTGACAAAAGTCGATGAAAATTTTGTTGAATCTTAATGGTAGTCTTAAGAAATAACAATCGGGCCCCCCAGTGGCACAGCGGCATGTCTGCGGACTAACAACGCTAGAAACCGGGTTTCGATACCCGTGGTGGGCAGAGTACAGATAGCCTTTTGTGTTTAACTTCAAACAAACATAAATAACAATGGGAACATCGCTCAGGCTTTTGTGGTAGTACCTACAAATAACACCTCGGATGCAGTGTTTGACGGGTTTCGGTGATTCGCATCCAGCGAAGAACATGTATTGTTACGCAAAAAAAAAAAAACCAAAAAAGATCAGATAAACTTTATAAATGCTATATGCATACGAGTTAGGCGAGACAATCATTCAAATTCTGACTTTCTTGTTATACCCTTCTCGTAAATGATGCTGTAAATCAAGATATTTTAGGTGATATTACTGCTATATTTTGGTTATCATAACAATGTAGTATTGTTTATTTCATTTAATTAAGGTAGTAATGTTTGTGCACTTGTTTTAATTCAAAAACACTATTGCTTATAGTAGCTTTAAATTCGGTCTTTCAATTTCAGTTGCCACTATATTATCATTATTAATCATCCAGTTAGTGTGAACTTTGAGTTTGACATTTGAATCATGTGCTCGAAAGTAGTCCAAACGGGAATAATTAAATGAAGTACCCAGTAACGTGAAACCTAAAACAGTAAACAAATTATAAGTCCAAACATGGTTTTAACTGCATCCAAGGTGTTTTTACTGGTACGACAGAAAAGCCCGAGTGAAAAAATAATGCAACGTAATGAAATATACAACTGTGGCGGCATCTGTTGTAATAATAATGAAATAATACTATATACAAAACAATAATGTTGTTATTATTACTCCAGTTATAGTTAATTACAGCGATTGGGTATAGGTTGTATTAAAACGTGCTCATTTTTCAGTTGAATATTTTTTTTCTGCATTTCTTTCTTTCATTGAACGCCACACCGTTAGTTAAAAGGCTTAAGGTTACCTTAACACTCATGAGCTATATATATCCATCTTCAAACAACCTAGGGGTCACTATCTTCAGATTATAATGGAAAACGGGACTTTCTGTACTTTTTTTCACCATAATTTATGTAAAGCAATACAAAACTTAGTTGTAAACATTTTTTATTAACTTTTGAAATTTAATTTTGACTCCGTCACGTGGCAATTTCTTCTGAAAAGTTTTACTTCCAGGGAGCACCGATACGCCTACGTTGTTTAAAGTTAGATATTTGGCTCGTCTGCTATCGATAGTTACTTCAAAAAAAAAGGGTAAATAAAGATAAATTCTTTCTGTGTTCTTAGTTTTTAATGATTCTCTCTTTTTGCTAACTCAGTTTTTGTTATTTTTTACCTATTTTTTTCGATTACCTTCGTTATGAAAGGGGAGATAAGACGCCCCCCATCCACACACACACAGAAAATCTCATGACAGACACTCCCACTATTTTCATTTTATTTTACACGAGTCCTTATTTGTAGTTATTTAGTCTAAGCCTTAATTCTGTATTATATAGTTATATCGGAGGATCCCCGGTGTCTGGAAACCTGACTTTAACAACAATTGTGGAATCATTAATCAAGGGGGATGTCAACAATGTCAGGAGCTTCTCTCAGTACCCACAGCTGCAGCAAAGTTTCGATGCTGTACGTTTTTATTTTAATTCTTGTCAATTTGTATAAGAGCAATTATGTGTATATATATATATATATACATACATATACAGAGAGAGAGAATATATATATATATAAGAGAGAGAGAGAGAAAGAGAATTACGTTTGATGTAGAATTCTTGATGTAGACATATTATAAAATTGGTTTCTTGGTACATATTAAGAAGAAATGGCGTACTAATAAGAAATGTAGCTTTTCCTGTTAGTTCGCTTAAAGATCCTTTTGTTTCAGTCCTAGCGTTCAGAGTCATAATATATTTCCTCATTTGAACAGTAATGTTGGGTATTAAAGGCTTAAGTAAGTTGCTATTGCAAGAAAGATTGGGTGAAGTCTGTTTTGGTAAAAAAAAAATTAAATATATTTCCTTATTTTCTCTCTAACCACGTGTAAACTTTGTAGTATTGGAAATTATGCTGGAAATTCATCTTGAAAGTTATATTACTGAAAAACTAAAACTACGAAACAGATTGCTGACTAATAAATTGGTTTTACAAGTTAAATACAACAGTTACAACTACTACCTCTCTTTCAGTTTGTAGGCTTAACAACATACCGTTTCAACATCTGGGAACTGGCTCAGCTTGTTTCCAAGTTGGAGAACTCCAGAGTTCGGGTGACAGCTTGTGTAGGAGAACCTGTGCTGGATCGAGTGATGTGTGGGTTTGCGGAGACCATTATCTTTAACTCCAGCATAAAACTTCACTTCCTTGGCTCATCTCCACAAGTTTTCAAACCAGCCATGCCTTTTAAGGCTTATGTAAGTTGGTGAATGTTTTTACATTTATAACAAACTTGCGTGGAGAAATGTTAACTTTGACATAACGAAACAGCTTCCAATTTTCTAACTCAGTAATAACTTATTACTCAGTGCAGATATAATAATTCTAAGAACAATGTAAGTTACAGTGCTGCGTTCTTATGACCGCCTCGATACTATCAGACTATGAATTCGAGGTTCCATGGTTCACGTCCCATTGCCACAAAATCGTGCTCTACACTGTGGGGCTGTTGATGCATTATAAGAGTTACAGTCAAATTCCACTGTTCAATTATAATAGCCCAAGAGTTGGCGGTGGGTACTGTTAACTAGCTGCTGCCTACTATTTCTTTTGTCTTTCAGTTCAAAATTAGGGACAGCCAGCGCATATAGTCGTCGTGTAACTTTGCCTCAATATCTAAAAACAAACAAGCCTCCATACATGGTGATTTCTCAGGCAGTGCATAGCACCTGTAGTGTGTTTCCAGAAAACACCATAATAAACGTCACCATAGAAAATTCACGACATCAATATTCACATCACGTTTACAAACAACTTCAGTTCATCTGACAAATCATTATTTCACTTCATCCTTGTCTTGCTTTCCATGTAAGAAATTTGAGCAGTTTCCTTAATGTGTAACTAAACCATAAAAATTATGAAGAATTTCATAACTCTAAATTCTCCACGAAGGCCCCCCAGTGGCACAGCGGTATGTCTGCGGACTTACGACGCTAGAAGCTGGGTTTCGATACCCGTGGTGGGCAGAGCACAGATAGCCCTTTGTGCTTAACTACAAACAACAACAACAACATCTCCACGAAGTTACTTCTGCACTGGCAGTTTGTCGTGAGGCCTGTCTACATCTGTTAGATCTTATGAACGAATGCCTGTGTACATCTCATGCACTGCATTAGTTACTTCTCCTTACATGCTGTCGAGAGTTATGTTTCTCCACATATATTTCCTCAGTTTACAATAAGTATGTAATTAATCAACGTCTAGACACAATATTTTAGTCGACGTGAGGCCATAAATATTTTATCAAGAAAAATAGTTTAAGTGGTCAGCAAAGTGCAGTCTTCCACTATTTTTTACTTTGATGGTCATGTGGTTAAAATAATCCATGAAATCCCTACTGAGTTATTGACTTCTAAATGGTCATGTGGTTAAAATAATCCATGAAATCCCTACTGATTTATTGACTTCTAAATGGTCATGTGGTTAAAATAATCCATGAAATCCCTACTGATTTATTGACTTCTAAATGGTCATGTGGTTAAAACAATCCATGAAATCCCTACAGATTTACTGGCTTCTAAATGGTCATGTGGTTAAAATAATCCATGACATCCCTACTGATTTATTGACTTCTAAATGGTCATGTGGATAAACAATACATGAAATCTCTACTGATTTATTGACTTCTAAATGGTCATGTGGTTAAAATAATCAGTGAAATTCCTACTGATTTATTGGCTTCTAAATGGTCATGTGGTTAAAACAATCCATGAAATCCCTACAGATTTATTGGCTTCTAAATGGTCATGTGGTTAAAATAATCCATGAAATCCTTACAGATTTATTGACTTCTAAGTCTTGATATAACGAGTTTCTACAGAGAGAACTTGTAATGTCTAATGTTTTGGTTTCTTCTAGAATAAAGTCACATTAAGATACCTGCTTTGTCCACTGCGGGGAATCCAACCCCAGATTTTAGCATTGTAAGTCCGTAAACTTACCGCTGACCCACTGGGGGGGTCATAATCTCTGCTGACACAAAACGTTAATCAATAGGTAGCTAACCCTACTTAATAAATTCCAGTTGTTTATTGTTGTTGTTTCATTAGCAAATTGGATGTGATTCCAAAAATATCTCAGCATGTTTGTTTATACCACAATAGAGAGCTCTTTCTTTTACCAACTTTCATGAGGTTGAGGTCAGAGTTCAGGAGCAGTCTTACATACATTTATAAAAACTGGATTCTTTCTCTGAGTGCTTCATCTCACCTCCAATACATCATTCATACGTTGCACTAGTACCAAATACTAGATCCTTTCCTTTAGAACCACCAAGACAACATGAAATACTTGAAACTTGCAATACGTTTCCCTCCCAACTGTGATTTGTTTTATATGATGTTTGTTACAAGAACGATTGTTGCACTTTACTTGATTTATTCTGATATGATTTGTTTTATATGATGTTTGTTACAAGAATGATTGTTGCACTTTACTTGATTTATTCTGATATGATTTGTTTTATATGATGTTTGTGACAAGAATGATTGTTGCACTTCACTTGATATATTCTGATATGATTTGTTTTATATGATGTTTGTTACAAGAACGATTGTTGCCCTTCACTTGATTTATTCTGATATGATTTGTTTTATATGATGTTTGTTACAAGAACGATTGTTGCACTTCAC